TACCTTTTTGGATTCGGTTGGTGTTGAAGTGTTATCCATAGTCCATGGCTTCTTGACGCCTGATGAAGATAGTTGAGATTTGAATGAGACTTCTCGTGCAAACATGAGATGGACCCAGGTAGATGAGAGTGAAACACATCATGTCGATTCGTCCGAGCCTAACTATGACCTGTGACTACAGGATGTTGAATCTTAGTTACCACTGAAGGGGGGGAGGGGGGGATATGCCAAGCAAAGCTGTCGTCATTTTTGCTTTCCGCAAAAGATCTGGCTGGACTCGATCGACAAAATTTGACAAACACCCATTCTTACAAAATGGTTCGACGAGGGCAGGATTCGAACCTGCGCCACCGAAGTGAATAGATTTCTAGTCTATCGCATTAGACCACTCTGCCACCTCGCCTTGATGGTCAGTGCACTCGCCGTTATGGTTGATATCCTAAAACTTACTCTGAGAGATGCAACGCGGGAGGCGTCTTGTGTGCTATTGGAGGGTCGGGTCTTATGCCGATTCAATCCGACAGAGTGCAATTGTCATCAATTTTCGACCCCCCAGCTTCCGTGAGTCGCCGCCCCAACAGAACCCACCCTGAATCTTCAATCTCGACGACACCAGGGACGACATCTTGCCGACTCGCATCAAGCCGATACTGCGAGCCACGGATTGCATCGGTCACTCGTCACAAATGGCATCCTCAGCAGCTCCCCTCCGTCATGTGCGAGGTCCCCTGGTCCGGGCTCTCGCTGCCCGCACAACATTGCGTACCTTCGCCACCATCCCCCCAGCTCCCTCTACGACCAGCACATCATCGACAACGTCGTCCGCAAGGCCGCCGACGACGACTCGACGCAAGACGTACTTCAAGGACAAGACAGTCGCATCCCTCGACGACTTCAATCGCCGGCGGCGCCACCGGCGGCTCGGCGCCCCTCTCGCCCTCGGGAAGCCTACGAGATCCGCACCAGTCGAGGTGACGACGGCCACGGGCAAGAAGAAGACGGTGACGCGGCTCCCCGAGTGGCTCAAGACGCCGATCCCGGCAGGCAACGCCAACTTTGCGGCCATCAAGAAGGACCTGCGCGACCTCAAGCTGTCGACCGTCTGCGAGGAGGCGCGGTGCCCCAACATTGGCGAGTGCTGGGGCGGCGACGACAAGAACGCGGCGACGGCGACCATCATGCTCATGGGCGACACGTGCACGCGCGGCTGCCGCTTCTGCAGCGTCAAGACGTCGCGCGCGCCGCCGCCCCTCGACCCCCACGAGCCCGAGCACACGGCCGAGGCCCTCGCGCGCTGGGGGCTCGGCTACGTCGTCCTGACGAGCGTCGACCGCGACGACCTCGTCGACGGCGGCGCCCGCCACTTTGCCGAGACCATCATGAAGATCAAGGCCAAGAAGCCCGGCATGCTGGTCGAGGCCCTGACCGGCGACTTCTGGGGCAACCTCGACATGGTCAAGATTGTCGCCGAGAGCGGCCTCGACGTCTACGCCCACAACGTCGAGACGGTCGAGGCCCTGACGCCCTTTGTGCGCGACCGCCGCGCCACCTTCCAGCAGAGCCTGGGCGTGCTGGCGGCGGCCAAGGAGACCAAGCCTGGCCTCATCACCAAGACGAGCATGATGCTGGGTCTCGGCGAGCAGGACCACGAGATTGAGGATGCTCTGAAGCGTGGGTTTCCCCTTTTTGCGGAAGGACCGTCCAAACCAGTGCTACGTTGCTAACATTTGCCTAGAACTCCGCAAGGCCAATGTCGACATTGTGACCTTTGGCCAGTACATGCGTCCAACGAAGCGCCATC